GAATCGGAATTTGGAAAGGGTGGCGTAAAAAAGCGACTCTATGGAAAATGTTTTTTGTTAGCGTCAATTGTTTCAAGAAACCTGAAAAAAGCATAAATTTAAATTGATTCCTCTCCGTTCCTCTCATTTTTTACGATTTTTTTTCTCTCAAACCGAATTTTATTTGATCCATTCTGCCTCAGCCCCTCATTGATATTGAAATCTGGTCCTTCGTTTCATGATGTTAATCTATTGAAGAAAATAGAGAAGATATTTTTATGAGTTTGTTTGCCCCATAAGTTTTACTTCTGCCAATTAGAAACATACAGTCCACAAACTTCCAAATAACCTAAACGTATCATTTTGGTCCCACTCAAGCCAGATTTACAAGAGAAACCTACACCGGAAGTAAAATGTGGTATGGTACCTGGTGCAAATAATTACAAGAGACAAGTTACATGATCAAGGTAGGATCTACCTGTACTACTACTAAGCTTTTATCAATTGTTTGAAGTCCTAGAAAAAAAATGCTCTCTAACAGAAGTAGAAAAATTAGTTTCTTTACGCTCATATTTGAAAGGTGAACCTCTCAGTTTAATCTCTAATCTAAAAATTATCGATACAAATTTTCAAGTTGCTCTAACCAGTCTTAAAGAAAAATATGCTTACCAATTACATATTATTTATGCTCACATAAAAGATTTGTTAAACGTTTCTCAAATAACAAAATGTAATGCAACTAACTTAAGAAGTTTTATAACTGGAATTAAACAAAATTATGAAGGTCTTAAAAATTTGCAAGTAGATGTTGATGGTTGGGACTTAATTTTAGTATGCCTTTTGTCTAAAAAATTGGACACTACCACTCGAAGGACATTTGAATTTGAACTTAAACTGAATGATCGCCCTACATTAAAACAGTTTTTAAATTTTTTGGACAATAGATGCTCAATTTTAGAAAGATCTAGGGCCGATACTTTTGCTCTCGATTAACGAATTTGATACGTTGTCAAAATTTTGCATGGGTCAAGGTCTATAAAGTATGATGTGGTTAGAGCACATTCTAAGCCCTGATTATTTTTAACGGCTGTCAAATGAGAGCTAAAGTACCAGCACCTAATATCCCTGACTTAACCATTACTTCTAGACAAAATTACACAGGTAACACACTTGTTAATTTTTCTCATCGAAATGCACAAACTCAGTCCCACGTTCAAGGATCGTTATTTGGACAGTTTGACACTTATCACCCAAAGGTAAATTGTTTGTTTTGTGAAGATCAAGAGCATAGTATTTATAAATGTTTGAAATTCACCAATCTTTCACATGCTGATAGATTAAATTGTGTTGAAACTCAGAAACTCTGCTTCAACTGTTTGGCATCACAGCATCAGTTGAGAGATTGTCGTTCTCAGGGATTTTTTATCTGTACTAAAAAAGATCACACTCTTTTGCACATAGAAAAAAATTATAATCGTTCACAGATAAATACTAAATCTAATAATTCTAGTAATGTTCTTCGTTTTTCACAACAATCCTCTAGACCTGCAAATTCAAATAATAGACAATATATGATGCATAGAAATAACCCTTATCAAATAAGTCAAGACTCGAACAACGCCCAGAACTCTAATATGCAAAATGTTAACTTGCAACGCTCTAAATCATCTCCAAATGTGCAACACTGTTCAACCACTAATTTAAATACCACTCTAAGTAAAATCTCCAGTAGTAGAGAAGTCTTATTAGCCACTGCGTTTGTGAAATTATTTTCTACTCAGAATGAACCCATATTTGTCAGAGTTTTGCTCGATTCCTGTAGCACAACATCTTTCATAACTAATGCCTTAGTTAAAAGTCTTGGCATTACTCTTAAAACCACTGAAACCCAGAAAACTGGTATTCGTGGTATTGTCACTCATTCAACAAAAGTAAATTTTCCAATATTTTCCAACACTAAAAGAAATTGCAAATTTGAGTTATCTTGTTGTGTTCTAGAGAGAATAACTAACAAAATCCCACAGTTTACTGCAGAGATTTGATTTTTATACCTGAAGATGTTATTCGTGCTGACTCTTATTTTTATATTCCAGGAAGTGTGAACTTCCTACTTGGTGCTGATGTGTACATACTACTCTATTATCTACGAAACACCATCTCGCATTCCCAGAAATCTCTTGTACCTAGCTGAAACTCATCTTGGCCATATAATAAGTGGACCTATTCCTACGCAAAAATATTTTACTCACCTCCTCTAGTCATGTAGAAACTGTTCCTTCTTTTGAAAACACATGTTTGTATGTCCAGGGCACTAATATTGACACTTTGATAGAAAACTTTCGGGCAGTCGAATACATCTCAGATTTGAACGCAGCAAAGTACAATCTCCTGAAGAAGCTCTCGCAGAAGAAGTTTTTGTAAATTCTGTTAAAACTCTTAAAGATGGATCATTACAAGTTGATCTTCCGACGCAGAAAATGTACGTTATCTATTGGCAAGATTGGGAGACCCTTCTACCTTGAAAGCTCTTAGGCTTTATCTTGCCTACCTCCACGAACAAATATTGCGCCAAGGTCTCAACCCGAGATAAAATGTTGTTATTTAGGAAATAATCAAAATTGATTGGTCTTAGATTCTTAGTAAAGCTCTTTACATGACATTTTTTTTTACATTTAAATTGAGTTCATTATCAGAACACCATTGTTCTTCGACTTCGACCTGTATATTTCAACCTATTGACTGCTGAGGTATGACTCGAACAACTCCACCAGGGAATTCGAAAAACTAAAAAGATGCAATTTATTCAAAATTAAATTTTTTTCAACTGATGGAAAGCCTTGGTGAAGTCTAAGTAAAACATCCAATTGACTTCCGACATGGTCTCAGTAAATTCCTGCGCGAAAACAACAAGATTGGTCACAGTGAAGTGCGTGAAACTTGGTAACGTATGAAGTAGCAGAGGGGAAGACGAAAACCTATACTATACGACGCGACGGGTCCCCGACGTGGTGCATTGCGAAAATTGCGTTTACCCTGACGCGACGACCCGCGTATATGTATATTTAATCTCGGGCCAATAAGGAGGGTTATGCCCGCATTCCTTCTACACAGGTTCACTCACTTGTCGCACTTTAGATCTGTCCCCAAATAATCTATGTTGCTGCGGAATAATAAGGTTTTTAGTTTTTTTCAAATATTATTATTTAGTTTCCTCCAAAGAAGTCCAGCTCACAGAAAACCTAGCGCTGTTTAAACCTTGTCTTCTTCACTCAACAGAACATTCAATTCCTTCTCAACAACGCATCCCTAGTGAATAATTATTACCTAGTCGAGTATTCTATCGTTACTGTTTTTTTTATCAGGTTCTCTTCTTCAAACTTACAACACCTTAAAAAGCTATCTAATGTAATTTCCGATTTGGCTTGACAGATGCCACTTATAAATTTGGCGTAATTTGATATAATAAAATCTCCCAACGTAAATACTTTTTATTCAAAACAAGTTCTTGAGATAACAGAAAATCAAATACGTGTTCTTATACATCTGAGTTAACAAGAGAAGGAACATAGATGGCAAACACAAAAATGCAGGAGAACTGGAACAATATTTTAATGCCGACAATATCAATATTGGTACTTTTTATCCGCTGCCAGTAAAACACTCCCACTCCGAGATTTATTAGTCCCCGAAAAGTTTCGATCCGCCTTAAAGATATTATATTCATCAGAGCATAACTCGCCGTTAAAAACCGAAGAGTCCAACCAAATTTCCGTTACCAGTCTATAATGCAGGTACTAAACTTCGGCCAATTTGTATCTCAATGTCGCCCTAGTCCATGGCATTTGGTACTGCTAGAGTCGTCATCCCACCAAAAATGACGACCGACACTCAGTCCATTATCAGAATTTACGCGGACTTAGAACAAAAACTGCTGAATTACTAAATAGTACGTTTGGTTCTTGTCCTAAGTAACGTGACCAACATTACGCCTCGATTTAAAGAATTAAAATTAGCGCAGTTGGAACATTTCAGTAACTGTGATTGCAATCCTTGACCAAATGATTTTCACCACTTCAGGGATAGCAAGGAGGCCTAGCACAATTTTTAAAGAATGATTACTCGTTACAATTAAAACAGCCATCATCCACTTCAACTCCATCAAATACAGTGCAAGCGTCATAGCCTGTAAACATATTACCCTCCTTAATAATTGTCATTCTCATATGTCGCATGTCGTTTTATTCAACTGAATGACTACCTGAAAAACCCTATTGCTCTTTGAATCACCAACTTTTTCCTCAGAAAGTTTAATAAACTTCTTGTTCTCCTCCTGGTCCCTGCAGCCAACTACAATGGAACCGTTATTGACAGGCTTCACTCTTGATAAACGCTGCTTCAATTTCGATGGATTAATTTGATCAGCCATATCCTCTTTTGTTTTATCAGAACTGTGTGAACGGTATTTAGGAGCCACGAGCACCGCTGGTTTGGTATTATTTTTTGCAATGGCAGCATAACTTGAAGGTTCAGGAGGCTTATTAACATTAGGTGAGTATTTTATCAGTGATATGGTATGGTCAACTGATATATATCTTGAAATACATTCATCGCATTTGGAGGATAAACCTGACTTCAGAAATCAAATTGGAAACATCTATCGATTTGTAGACGCATGTGGCTCCTATGCGACGCATTTTTGCACTCACTACAACAACGCTACAACTGAGTTTTTGGCGCGATGGAGTTTTTTCCGCACAAAAACACACATCGACATTCCACTAAGATATTGGTAGATCATATCAAATTTAATGCAATAATAGAAAATTATTTACACTTTCGAATTCCGCAGCTTCTCAAGTACAAGCAGTCACAAATTTCATAACAAACTATCTAATGTTTCCTGCTAAAACAGCCATAATTATAGAGCAGTAAAAAGTCGCCTTTCTACACGTCGGCCGTGCTCGCTCATTTAGCACATGCTTGTGCATGGCAAAAAAAAATTGCATAAAAATCAAACTTACCCAACATTCCGACCGGAAATTGATAAGGCGCTTGAAAAGATGTCTCGATAACACTTTGCGTCACAACCCAGACGTAATTTTCGCCTGTCAGATGCAAGTCGCTCGCAGCCGTTAGTATATCAATGGCTTCTTCTTTAGTACAGTACAAAAGCATGACTCTCGCCTCTGAATCAACAAGGGCTGCCAAATCACCTTTGTTTGCGACCAGCACTGCATTCAGAATTGTAAACTTGAATCGATCCTGAAATCAAATCAAATTTATATGAGGTTGTTCGTTAATATTAAAATATTATAACAGCAAAACAATGATATGCTCAAAATGTCACTGAACATTACGCGTGCCTACATTGTTACAAACAAATCAGGTATCTACCTACTCAATTCGAATAATTATTTGAAGGTATCGACAACAGTTCCAATGAGAATTGATGGATTGGTCTGTTATTTATATTTTTTTTTGTCACATATTTTGAAAATTTGAAATAGTATCTAACAACAAAGTTCACATTTGTCTTTAAAGTTTAAATGAAATATAAATATCATTAGTTGTAGCATGTGAAATGCTACTGTTATTAACTATTCCTTTTTCCTTCAAATATTGTTTTATAAGTTTATAACCTTATTATTATTACCTTTAATGTTGACAGTTTGGTGACAATAACAATAGCAATTTATTAAACTAGAGGATTTTCGTTTAAATTTAAAGTAACACTTTAGTACCAACACCTTCCGCTAACTATTTTCAAGGGGAAGCTCTGTCTGTTCAGCTTTTCTTTTCTTCGTTCCTTTTAAATTTTGCCGTTCGCCCGAAAGGTGACTCTGCCCTAGGGGGGCAGCCATCTTCCTCAAATATGAATTTTCTCGTGGAAAAAAGTACCTTATCGGCCATCAGGAACTATCTTAACGAACCAAGTTGCGTAAAGCAATAAGCCATTAATTACCGAAACATTTATTATCGAAAGTCTTTTGATTACCGTTTTATTAGAGTTTGAATTTCGAACCCCTCGTGGTAAGTCCTTTTTAATTTTTTTTTTTTAGTAATGGTTGTTCACGGAAAGCCTCTTTTACTTAGGGTTTACCGGGGAGCGGTTGGTCCCGAGGAGCTATTTTTTCCGAGGAGCCGTTTCTCTCATGAAATCCATTTTCAAAAAGCCCTAAAAATCACCGTTTCCGTGCAGCGTGGGCATAGAGTTTTTGAAGTGATTTCCTAGAGAAATCAAGTCCCTCACGTGTCGATACCTGTACCTCCACATTTGACGAAGAGAACTGAACTGCTAGCCTTGATTCCAGAATCTGCAACTTCCATGTGCAACTTCCATGGTCAAAAAATGGATGGCTACCGACTACTGGACTCTACCTCTTTGTTGGAATTGAGGCTTGTATACAGTTTCAATTATAACTTTTATTACCTTTTTTATGAAATCTATTTTATGATCAATTACCATAGTTGATTGAATTTTTACCAACAAATATTTAAAATTTCAATTTCATTCTTACATTCTTGACACCGAAGTGAACTTTAAATAATTATCTCCGATTTTTAATTTATCGAATTTATTATGGGATTATCTTAAAGGGGGTGTGCGCCAAAAAAACAACTTCATCTCAAAAAAAAAGAGAAAAAAAATCTAAGAATAATAGTGAAATCCGCTCCCCTCTATGACAAATAATACCGCAGATATGGCTCTATGAAGGTACCGCATCTCACCCTATGACGTCACGAAAGCTCAAGCGACGCACGAGAAAGTGGAGTTAATTAAATTTATATATGTTTCTCCTGTGTTACCTGCAATAATCTAAACAAAAACCACTCACACGTGCCGGGAACAATCAAATTAACAATGCGGAGCGCGACTGGACGAAGTTTTCGTGACGTCACGAGAGCGTCGTCCATACTTTAAAGCGGTATATCTCAGCGATGGTTTATCGTAGAATAACGAGGTTTGAACAGTTATTCTTAGATTTTTTTACACTAAAACTTTAATTTTTGGCGCACACCCCCTTTAACTTTTGGTACCGCCATGATTAAAAAATATATATTTTATTAATCCTACTCATTTATCTGAACTGAGGTCAAGGTTGGACAATATGTTCCAAATTTAAAATTATTGAGTAAGTACCTATAACGCCAAAAATTGATCAATTTTTCACTTGGGTTCTATAATAACCTATATATTTAAGGATTTCGGTTATACACCATATTTATCCAGAGTAGTATTATAATTTTCAATCATTCCTTTTTTTTTTTATTAATTTTCTGGAAACTTAAATCCTTCATATTTTTATTTCAAATTAATGGAATGGCCAGCAAATTTTAATGAACCTATATGGCAAGAATATTGAGGTACTTTGTAATTTTTTTTTTTTGAATTTGATGAAACTAATTGAGTGTTGACCTCTGTTTATTGATTTAATTTAAAGTGTTTTACCAGTAATTGATTTTATACTTTGAAATATTGCAATACTTGATTTTTGACCCCACTGTGAACTATACACTAATTTAATTTGAAACTTACCTAATGGTTTTATTGGTTTACCTGTGTCAAGATTTGGTGAGTTATATGCCGTATTTATTTTATTTTTTTCAGAATTACCAATTGCCGTTATTTTTTTTAGGTGTGTTTCTGAATTTTCACACCCCAATATTTTATGTAATTTAATTTTTTTTTTTTAAATTCAGTGGCGCCCTTGCCATTCTGTACTTATTAAACTATCAATCCACCCCTAATAAATATTCGCTGAGCAAACTGAGCATATTATGGGCCTCTTGTTAATTCATTAACAAAAGGGGTTACATAGTTTGCAGAGTGAGGTCGAGAAAGGGTTAGATCGAATGGTTAAGTGTAGAATTATCAGTACAGTTACTGAGCCCACTGACTGGTACAGTTCTCTAGTTACTGTGAAGGAAACAGATGGGAGCCTTCGCTTATGTTTTGACCCACAGAAGTTTGAACAGCTTGGCTCTAAAATGCCCGATGCAAAGGTATTTTCTATTCTTGAAGGAAATAAAGGCTTCTACCAAATAAAGTTGGATCCAGAAAGTGAACTTTTAACTACCTTCAGCGCTGGACATTTTAGCCGTTATTTCTACTTACGTGTTCCTTATGATCTGCGAATTAAGTGACACAACCGTCGAACTGTGTTTTAAAAAACTGTTTATTTTTGCATAGAGCCTTAACTAAGTTCATAACTAAATGTTACAAAACTATTTCTAAGTTGAACAAAACTACGAACAGCGATCTGGCTTTGACACGCAATTAATGTTACTGTTCACAATGGTAATTCCTAATTTATAATGTATGGGACTTATAAGTATTCTCGAGCTGTTGTTTGGTATTGGGTATACATATTGCAAGTTACAGATATCCTTGTCGAAAATCGGTATTTTAATCACTAGAATTGCCATTTCTTTGAAAATTAAAAGTCCGGTTTTGCAGATTAAAGTTAGTTCCGAGATGTGAGTAATATTCCATAAGGTGTTTTTAGGACAATGTAATTCCAAATATTGCCAAATATTATTTATATCTCCCAAGCTGAGAATCCCGAGATCTAAAGTTTCTAAATGGGTAAACGAAAAGATGCGTAGAAGCTTCTCTAAAAATTCATTCAAATTGCTTATTTGTACATACAAATCCTGCAGCCTTACCAGAATAAGGACTGAATTGCTCAAATTTAAGATTTCAGAACTAATTTTTTCGGAATTATCGTTTATAATCTTTACGTTTTCTGCGAATTTACTCATTATATTGCCGGCAAATGAACTTAGATCATTGACTTTATGCATCGGGTTTAGCTGATTATGCTTCAAAATTTCTAAGTTTTGCGTTATTGTTTCTAGGTCAGTATTGTCTAAGTTTCCTGTAATAAATTTGATTCCGCTACCAAGGAAGTTCAACAACAATCATTTTATAGGTATCTAATTTTGCAAAAGTGTCAAATGTTTTATTTAGAGTTTTGTAAGCATGCAGAAAATGTGTTTTGCAGTAATTATTGTTTCCGTTATTCATACTAGGTTCTAAAGTCAAAATATTACTTAATAAATTATGTAAGGTTAACTTAATACTAGTTATATTAAATGGAATATATGTCGAATGGTGGTGACTAACTATTAGGGATGATGATATTTGTTCTTGGAAAAAGCCATTATTTGGTAGCTTTTGAACTTGATGGGCCTGGGACCGGTTCATCTGGTTCTGGAAGAACAGGAGTGGGAGGCTGTGAAGAAATAGGATTTTTTCTAATTCTTTCAATTTTCCTAAGATGGGTATTTATGGGGATTTTTTTCGAAATTCCTGTTATTTTGTTTTTGTTTACTTTCGTTAGCTTCGTTGGGATGTACTGTGGGCTACTTTTGTTTCTAAGGTTACTTTTCCTGTAGTGATCTACTTGAATGTCGGGGGGGTTCTTCTGATGCATTTCTGTTTTGCTTTTCAGTATTTTTTTGTTGTTTTTGGTAAGCATTTTTGAAAATTTGATCATGAAATGGAATCAACTCTTTTTTTCTTTCCTCATTGTATTGTTCAAATATCGTCAAGTCATTGTTAATATTGGGTTCATTCAAGTAAGGGCCGTACAGTATAGAAAATGGGGAATGGCCAGTGGTGGAATGGATACTTTGATTGTAGATCAAAACTGCTGACGTCATTAAATTTTGAGGAGTCTCGTCGGGATTTTGCATTTTTAATATTCTTAATTTTTCCAGAAGAGTTGAGTGTAGACATTCAACTGGGCTATTTGATGAAGAGTTTCCGGGGGTGGTAAAATGCATTTCTATACCGAAAAGTTGGCAGAACTCCTTAAGGAGATTGTTTTGAAATTCTCTTCCCTGGTCACAAACAATTTTTGAAGACGTATTGTGATGGGAAAAATAGTGTCTTATTTTATTTAAAATAGTGATCGCATTTTTGTCGGGAATATAGTATGCTTGTGCATATATTGAGAATGAATCGATTATGGTTAAAAATTGACAATTTGAGAAATGAAAAATGTCAATATGTAAGGTTTTGAATGGTTTTTGGGAGAGCAATGGACCTTCATATGCAATTTGATATGGATGCCTTTCGTATTTGTTTTGGAGACAAAGCTCGCACTTGTTTATAAATGTCGTCATTGAATCTCTCAAGTTTGGCCAATAATATTTTTGTTTTAGATGCTTGTACGTTTCTGTAATGCCATTATGGTTTTGTTGGTGATATTGTGCGATAATTTCCTGCTGATGTTCATGGTCAAGAACATCGTTTA